TTTGAACTAAAATAAGGTTGTTGGAGTTGTTGGGAAAGCTGCAGGTATACTGCTCCTAAAACTCACGTTACTCGATGTGTTGAGTTTTAGCAGTACGACACTATTTAGCCTGAAACTGGCAAAGGTTTGGTTTAAATTTAAAACACAGATTTTGGTTCTCAAAAGCACCACAGACTGTCATGTTATTACACCACCTGGCTAAGGCTTCAGTCAACCAAAGAAAGACCTGGTTGAGTGAAATCATTATTGTTCAACCAACTAATTGCCTGAAGAGGAGAAAATCTGCCCATTATTTTTAGATGTGCTGAATCTGCCACTGTACCTACTGCCCTTTTTAGCCTAAAAGAGTCTAAATACACATAAAAAGTTGCAGCATTTCTTGTTATTTTAAGCTGGTTATTTAATACCAAAAGGATGATAACAGACTCTGAGCCCATATTCCTTTGTTTTCTGAAAATACATCGATATCGACTCGTGATCCCAGCACAGAACTTCTGAGGAATATAATACAGACAAATAGATGATGTGCAGTGTTGTGATATACAACTGTGATCACGCATTTTAGCAAAATGCACTCTGAGTAAACATTTAATTACCTTTAAATAAGTGAGCACTAGTGTTTTTCATTGGGTTGAGTAAGTTCAGAACTGTGAAACTATCGGGGTGTTCACAGATAGTCTGCTCCTGCTGTCTCCAAAAATAACGGATTGATCCTGGAAGGTTGTTGATTGTCGAGCTTTTCTGGTACAAAAGAAGTGCTGCCGATTGTCCAGCCAATGATCATTTGGTTAGTTGACAGCGTATTGACCTGAACATCAGACTCCAGTAATCCCAGTGACGGTTTCTCTTAAACCTGCCATTTATTAATGAATGAACATTTTCTAAACTTGACAAACATGCCATTTCGCAAAATGTGCCTTCCCTCAGCTCGTGACGTTGATTTGTTTGTGCAAAATTTTACATGATTTGAGATGTATCACTTCAACTTTGACTTAATTGGCACCGTCGGCTGTCAGCTCGACACGGGGGATTAACACAATCACTTCCTGTCAAGTCTCTCATTGAGGGTGTCGCTCTAAAGGGCGGCTTCCACATCAAACCTTATGATCAAAAACTTTTCAAAGCACAACACTGCAGAGAAACGATCATTCATATTTAAACACATTGAAATTTTGCATTTTTAATGCGGCTTCAGAGAAATGATGAGATCCAGGTACGACGCCACAAATGGCTCTAAAAACTGTTCATACTGGATTTAAACATTTACGCTCGCTGTCACATATCGGATTCATTCCACATCCAAATATTTGCATCTGGTCTCTGAGGATTTTTTTTCTGCCACCAGCGAATAAGACTCACTCTCCTCCATCCTTGCGTCTGTATGGATGCAGTTACATCAGCTTGTAAGTGACAGCGTGGTCAAAGTGGCAGGAAAAGGGGAGCGGGCAACACTTCATTAAAGTGCAGCATTACTCCACTCACTCTCCCTCCCATACATACACACCAGGCGCAGACCACTTCATTTAGTCTGAGAGATAGAAAGGACAGGCCCCAATGGATTCTCCTATTAATCTTTAATGAGCCCCCGGGCCTGAAAACTGCCCGCCTGCCTCTGCTTCTGCACATCCTGGAAACAAACAATGACTCGGCTGGAAAACACATCGCGCCTCGTACCTGCCTGCCTGTCTGCCTGCTAGCCATTAACCCCCCAACTCAGCCCTTGAATTATTAATGCCACTATCTATCTCCATGCTCGCCCAGGCCCACTCCCAGCAACGGGAATGGGCGACATCTTGATGGTGTGGTTGGGAAAATGTGGCGAGGCCTCTCCCCCCCCGAGTGGACTTTTGGGAAGGAAGTTAAAAGTTGGTTCCTGCATCTGTCAATCAAACTGCTCGAGTTCTTGCTAATGTTTATCTGGGAGAAAGCCAGTTTTATTCTCTTTACGGCTGACACCACTTTTTTTTTTTATTTTTCAGTACGACCCCTTCACTCTTCTCTTTGGGTTAACAAACAAGACATCATCCAGTTTATACAAAGTAAGACAACTTTACAGCACAAAAGCAGGGGCAGGATGTCATCCTTTTACAGCAAATAGACCTGAAACCTTTATTACAGCAGATAGTGGAGAGGAGCGAAAGGCTGATTGAAAAATCACTTTCATCAGCTGAGGTTCAAACTTCATTCCCGACCTGAGAAACGGCAATTTCTCACCCAAAGGTCCACTTGGCTCTGAAGCTTATCGTAGTTATCCATCGCTCTGTTGTAGGTTTTCATCATTTGTCAAGTTTCTATAATATTAATGCAAGTCCTTGATAACTACACTGCTCAAGAAAGGGAACACTTCAGTCATTGATACACACTGTGTAAGTTATTGAGAACAAAATGATGAAGAATGCTTGGTAACTGGACAGATCCATGTCCCAGAAGTTTACTTAACTGGTGTTATGCTGTGATGATGAAGTATTCCCTTAAATGTTTTCAGCTGTTGGTTCCTCCATCTACTCCTGAGCTTTAACGTTGCAAAGTTGAATGAACAGCATCATCCTGCAAATATATTCATTGCTGCACATTTTTTCTTCATTATTGTGTCTCAGTTTGTTTCTCTAATTTCACTCCCACTTTCTCTGTCGCTTGCTTCACCTTTATGATCCTCTCCTTTTCATTTTAAACTCCCTTGCGTGCACACACGCCGTCTTTGTCTGGGTTCAGAATAGAATTGTCATCCACAGTCCTCAGAGATGTTCCACACTGAAATAAAGGGTCTGCGTGTGCTATGATGAATGCAGATCTCATTTGGTTCTGCCTCAGATAGCCATTCCTCTGCCTCTCTGATGTCCCCCTGCCTCACTTCCTCATCTCCTGATGAATATTAAATAGTGGTTGATGCGTTCCCGAGGTTCTTTGAGTTGTTATTGTTTCTCTGTCTGCTGGACTTTCGCTGTATCTGACTTTGGTGTTTTGTTTTCCTCTGATGTGTGCATGTGACTGTGTTTAGCACTTGTATACAATCATGTTGTTTCCATGTAATCAACAGAGTTGGTGTCGTACCAGGGAGCCATGTTGTTGAACATATTGATATTGTAGAATGTAAAACGACCCTCGTAGGAATGCTGCCTCCGTTCTAGCCCTCCGTATGTACTTATATTATAGAGTTTTCAGTCAGGAGATCAAAACAAAACGATTGAATGTCATTCGTTAACTAAATGCCTCTTTTCATGAGGCAGGGTCGTCAGATTTGAACGTCTTCTAGGAAAACCTGCAAGGTGCTGAATATTTTTTTGTTCAGAATTTTGTATTTTGGAGCAACAGTACCAATTTTTATGGACTGTACGACTTACATTCTTCTACATTTATGATGCATTTGCATATTTTCCCTGAGCGGTGCAGCAAAATTACTCATAGCAACCGCTAATGGCATTAATCAAGGATACACATGGGTATGCTTTCAAAATTCTTTAATAATTAACAAGTTTATGTTTTCTTAATGTTTCTTTTTTTCATTTTTCTTTTTTTTTTACTTTGATTTGTCTCTGCATGTGCAAGACACGTTGGCTCTCAGCCACAATGTGTTTCCAACACATTCCCAAGATGTTACAAACCAGGACAGACATAAATGTGAAGCATGAAGGAAACAGAAATCGTCTGAATTTAAATTGTATCAGTGGCATGTAATGGGTGATTCAGGAGCCCTTTGTTGTAGGTGGCTCTATCAAATTCCTCATTATTGATCGAGAGCCAAAGTCTATTATTTTCTGTTGCGACAGCTCCACCTTTCTCACGCTTTCTGTCAGAAAAACACCTATTTGTCATCTCTCTGTTTTCTCTGTGACCGTCAGCACTTTGAGCCAGAATGAGATGACTCCTAAATTAAAAGATGGCAGGCAAAAAAAAATAAAAGCGCCCTTGCATGCCGTTTCACACACACACGCTCACACTCACACACTGCCCTGTAGCTGTGTGTCCTCCAGGCACCCAAAGTGTCATGGCAACCGTACGGCAGCCACGGTAACGGCAGGCTCATTTTCATACTGATGAGGCCAGTTGCCGGGGAGGCCTTCGCTGCTTGCTGCTGCTGCCGCCGCCGCCGCTAGCTCGTCTCTCCTCTCCGGTGTCGCCCTGAAATTTTAATGACTTTTCTTTCTCTGCTTCTCATTTTTCCTCTTCTTTGCTCTCTGTGCGCCGCGTGTGTGTTTGTGTGTACAGTCTCAGCTTCACCGTTCAAACAGACACACACCTCACAGTTGATACCAGGAGAGAATAAAAGGCGATGTAATTTTGTAAGAATTTTTAAAGGGCATGTATTTTTACACCAGTGGAAGGCCTCCTCCAGTCTGCTCCTCTTGGCTTCAGCAGGTTTGCAACTCTGAACCGTGTGTTTTGAGATTTTAGTGCTAACAGAAGGGCAAGAAACAAGCAGAGGAAACTGTTTTCAGGACGAGACGATGCAGTGTCAGCTCTAAAATGGTCATCTTGTCCTTTGCATTGCGCCATCTAGGAATCTTGTCCCTTGATGCTGTTCTTCTACATTCCTGATCCCTGAAATCTGCCTCTTAACCCTCCTGCAGGATCACTGCTGCATGTGGTGCCTGCTGAGGAAAACTATAAGCTGATTGGACGGCGTTCAACAAGTAGTCCGACATGAATCTCGAGCCAAGTTACGGTCAAGGGCATGAGTGCGCAATCTGACATATGGACCAACTGGAAGGGCGAAAAATGTTGTGCAGTCTGGTGTCAACATCGTTTTTCGTGTAAACCGGAGACACAGTGACTGATTGTTCACCACTTTGTTTGCTGGCAGGGAAAACTGGAAAGCAGCTTATGACATGTCATCTTGCATGAACATCCAGTCATGGCTGCTGGCTGCCAATAGTCTATCGTCCAGTGTTTTCGGAGCTGCAGCAGCAAACGTCTTGCTCACATTCACAACATGATGGTTTAGTTAGATGCGACTGAATTGTGCAATCTTACTCCATGCTCTTCTTTCGCTTGTGTTTCAGGAGGACGAGGCCAGAGAAGAAGAGAACGGACGGATCGAGCCAGTTGGCCGGGCTGACTCGTGCATGGACCACACTCCTGTGAGGTCGCTAGAGTAAGTTGGTCGCCTGTTTGTGCCTTTTCCTTCCCTGCTGTCACAGAGAAACGCAATAACCACCTCACAGTACAGAGACAAGTGATCAGGCTGCTTAATTTTAAGGAGTTTGATTGCAAGAATGTGGGAAAAGTGAATCCCATCCTCTCAAAACGACGCTATCCTGAAGATCTTCCAGATTTGTGAACAAATACTTGCGCTAGCAGACTTTAAATTATTTGGATTTTGAAACTATTGTGTTGAAAATGTATGTTTTTTTTGTTTTTCCACTCTACATAAGCCTAAAAGAACATTCTGGGGTATTATAACTTGGGTCCTTTGTTGCTGGATTTGGCCAACATCACTGATATAATCTTGCTCACAGTGATATGTCTGTGTTCCCAGAACTCTGTAATTAACTTGGTATGAAGTATTGATTGAGATGATGGCCAGAACTGAAAAATAACACTTGAGTTGTTTGTAACTAGAATTTCCTTTGTAAAGTAACGTGACTAAGCCAGCTCTTCTCTCCCTTTTCTTCACATAATAAGCACTTAAACGACACACCAGCAGGTTCTATATTGTGGTCCAGGTTTGTTTGTAGAAAATCTCATTTTCAACCCTGCTTTCTGATTTACATAATTCTCTTTTGTGGGAGCAAAATGATCCTCGTCTCGCCATCAGAGCTCTCCCACGCACTAACCCATTCAGCTCCCGTTATTAACAACTGTGTTTTGTTTTGTTATTTTGCTCTGTTGCATGCTTCCAGTTTAATATGCAGGTATGGTATTATTATTCCTATGATTTCCCAGAGACTGTGGCTTCTCCCGCCTCTTAGTTGTCAACAAGGGGCCCATTTTCCCCAAGCTAATCATAGTCATTGTATCAAAGCTGTGAGTGGATTAGATGTGGCATCTTGTAAAATATGCCAGTGTATAGATGTTTCACAGCCAAACAGACTGCCTCGGAAAAAAGCAAATAACTGTAACTGTGTTTTCTGCTTTTTCTGCATTGGAGATGCATCTGTCTGGATAGAAGATACGTTTTAAATTGATTTTTTCTCTTTCATTATTAAATCTGTCCTGTTTTTCCAGCTGTGTGCATGGCTTTGCACATCTACACTCCTAATCAGCTTCTCTTTTCCAGATATAAGAGACAAAGCTGCTGCGAACTACAGCTCTGCTTTATGAACATTGTGACTGTTGGTTTGTGGTGCTTTTCGTCTGCGTAGAGACTGATGGACACAAAGCATGCTAAACAAAAGTGTGACACTTTAGGTGGAATTGTTTTTCTGCAGATTTGCACAGACACATCTTTGTGAGTCCGTGCAGACGGCGGTGTTACGGGAAGACGAAGGTCACAGAGGCTGCCTCAGGAGCCAATGCTCACACCTCCTAAATTTCAACAACATGCAGCGCAACCAAGCTAAATGTGTTGATCCAACATCCTGTCAGGAAGTTTTCTCCAATTTTTCTTGCCGAGTTTGGCTGTGCACTCCAGCAGAGTGCTGCCACCAGAGACTTTGTAGCACAGCAGAGGAAGCTAATTCCTCATTTAGGGAATTTAATATATCAGTGCCTGTGGTAAATCCTTTTTTTTTTTGGTTTTGTTTCTTGGATTGGTGGTTTGTTTACACTGTCACTGGGGTAAAAATTATCTCTTCTTCCTGATTTCTTCAATGTTTTCTATACCTTGAGGTTTACTAACTTGCTTTTGGACACAAAATGTAGGTTTTCCCACATATTCGCTCACATGCAGCATAGTTCCATCTTTAGAGGGACAGTTTTAGATTTCACAGATTTTAATGTGTATGTTGCACAACAGCAGCATTGTAGGATCGTAGCGTCACCCTGGAAAAGGTAAAAACATTGGATTTTTGCAGATAAACTGAGGTTCATTCTCAGTTTCTCATTCCACCCTCTGAAGATAGACTGAAGTTATAGTTGATAGTCTGAGTTGTGTGTTTGTGAGGATTTTTGGAAACCTTCAGTGTTCCTTCCTCTCCTTTTATGTGATTTATTTGGATTGCTCTGTTTTATTGTGTTTTTTGTTTGTCTGTTCCAGCACCTTCTGTTTTAATTCATTTATTTGCACCACTCTGTTGTTGTCATTGTAATATTTCTTTCTACCATCACCTTATTTTCTGTTTTTGTTTTTGCCCACATGGTGTCACCCCTCTCCTCTCCTCTCCTCTCC